CCCCCCCCTCCCCTCCCCTCCACGCCCACCTCTCTCTCCCTCCCGAATTATTGGAAATTGATGTGATTAATTGCACTACGAATGCCTTGTGATGATAACATCGTGCTCGTTGCAATACACATGCTAATACACGATTTGGGTCGATCTCTCGAGCTTGTCTGTGTGGGATTTACAAAATGTCATGCTTTCCAATCATTTATTTATTTATTTATTTATATCAAATAGCAGGCGTTTTGATGGTTAACATTAGCCCTTTAGTTGACTGCAGGCTTCACGGAGGGGAAGGAACATCAAAGTGAAAAAAGTCGAGAGGGGGGAGGGAAGAGAAGAGTGTTTCAAAGACGAAGGTAGATAAGACAGAATAGTGTTTCAAAAATGTAAAAGAGTCAGGCACAAACAGAAGAGTATTTCAAAGATGTAAGAGACAGACACAAAGACAGAAGAGTGTTTCAAAGACGAAGTAGTCGAATATGACATACAAAGGGGTGACGGTAGTTTGAAGTGAGAAGTCAACTACCGATTAATAGACTTTTTTGCCGTATGAAAGTGATAAGTCAACTGCCGGTTAATAGACTTTTTTGCCGTATGAGTGGGTTGCCCAGGGTGCACCGCGTGGAGGTAAGTCTATCGCAACAACTGCCGGTTAATAGACTTTTTTGCCGTATGAGTATACGCTGCCCAGGGCGTACCACGTGGAGGTAAGTCTATCGCACACCCCACATTGCTATTTCGCACAACGTGGAGGTAAGTCTATCGCACACCCCATTCATTAAATATATCACGGAGGTAAGTCTATCGCACACCCCGTATTTTACCACGTGGAGGTAAGTCTATCGCACACCCCGCTTTCCAACAATTATTATTATTGATTTTAAAAATCCATTTATGGTGAGTGATTTGATAGAGTAAATAGGTGTCGGGAAGGGGATGTGGGGGAGGGGGGGGAGGGAGATTTCCTTGGTAGAATGTAATAGAAAGCTAGGATGTTTTTTGCATCTACCTGCGCAGTTATTATCAAGCAAATTAATCTGTGTATATGTTCCGCTAAAGAGCATGCTTTGAACAAGGCGATACACGCATGGAAGTTTGTAGTAAGGGGCTTTTTTTAAGAAGCCACTTAGCCTTGAGAGGTTATTGACCTAAAATAGTTGATAAGTAAATACCTATCGGAGGATATTTTTTTTCGTTTAAAGCGACTGGATCTGCTTTTCTTTTAACTGAATCTTGTTTTCTTTGTGAACCGGGGGGCGCGACTCACCCCTTCCCCCCTCCCCCAACAGACCACCACAGAAATTGTATATTCCATTGGAAGGACCCTAGAAAAATTATCTTCTTGCTTAATTTGGAGTTAAACGCAAAATAAATGTCAATTTGCACGCAACCAATAGGGAGTGTGAAGTGCATGAGCTTTGATATTAACTGCAGATGAAGTCACACAGAATGTGAAGTTCTCAAGAACCACAATTAAGACTCTTGCAAATGCATGTGGGAATTAACTAAACCATGAAACGCTTGACTTAGTTATCTAATACCCTTATAAAAATTATAGAATAGTACTTATTCAGCTAAGCAGAACCAAAAAAAGAGAGAAATTAAGTTGGGGCAAAGTGGAATGACCTAAATTTATACGAGAGAGAGAGAGAGAGGCTTTTTTGTAAGTCTTAAGAGTGCAGACTCAATTCAGCTGTGGCAAGTATCTTTCCACCCACTTGAACCCATATCTAGGACGGTTGTTTTCGACTTCTCGTGGGGGTATGAATTTGATTTCAATTTGCATTTTAATTAGCGCGCTACTAGCATTTGGTTAAGAAGTTTCTCCACCTAGATTAATTGAAGGCCAATTTCGAGTCTATAATGATTTATTGACGAAATGCAGTCGCATTCTCACCAATCAACATTTCTCCCACTACTAAATTAGGGAGATTTCTATTTAACCAAGAAATGACTTGTTCGCAGTCCAAATTACACTGACTTCACCTGTAGTCGACTCATGAACTTGCGCAACTTGGCTATTTGGAAGACAAGTTGGTTGAAGTGCTTTACCAAACACGTCCAAATTGATTAACTGGTCTCAGTGTAAACTTAAGACTCCGAAAACGTGAATATACTCATTTACATTTACATTTGCCCTGAGAAGTTGGAATCATCTGGTAGAGAAATGGCCTCATTTACAATTTTTGTTTTTAAAAATTGTGAATAGATCTAATTATGCTGCATTTTCACTCCACTTTCTCGATACAACCCCCCCCCCCCAATGTTTTTCCTTTTGTTTTGCCTATTTGACAGATTTTGAAATTCAATTCTCAGTGAATGCCCTTTTCGCCTTGCGATCCCCTAGCCAATCACGCCAAAAGGCTTTGTCCAAAACTAGGTCACGAAACGCAAGAAAATTGGGGTGTTGTTCATGACTTAAATCTGGTAATTATATCCCTCTTTCCCTTTCGCCAATGAGGCTGTTGAGTATATATATATATATATATTCCAGGGGTGTGCGATAGACTTACCTCCACGTGGTGCACCCTGGGCAAAGTATACTCATACGGCAAAGAAGTCTATTAACTGGCAGTTGACTTCTGACTTCAAACTACCCTTACCCCATTGTATATCATATTAGACTACTTCCACAGTACTCATCTCACCTTTTTCCACTTCTGTGTCTGTCTCTTTTACATCTTTCAAACTGTCTTCTGTTCCCCCCCTCTCTCTCTCTCGACTTGTTTCACTTTGATGTTCCTCCTCCTCTATGAAGCCTGAAGTCAACTAAAGGGCTAATGATAACTTTCACAACGCCTGACATTTGATATAAATGTAAATATATATATATATTCTAAAAATTAGCATTTGAGATGGATGCTGAAAACACTTGATTTAGGTTTATTCCTTACGGATGACATTTTGTCAGTGATGGACTATCTATCTACCCTTTATTGTATAAAGAGATGTTGTGGGATGTTACTTAATCGAAAAATTATACGAATTTGCATTAAAAGAGTATTTAATTTTTTCACTCACGTTCTGCGTTAGAATCTGTGCCGGGGGCTGGGGCGGGGGGAGGGGGGGGGGGGGGGGGGGGNCCCCCCCCCCCCCCGCCTATTGAACAGTTGATTTTTTTGCATATCATTACAGTGAGATTTGTTTCCATTTGAATGTATGTTTGAGCAATCTTCTTTGGTATCTGCGGTGTGTGATAGACTTACCTCCACGTGGTGCACCCTGGGCAACGTATACTCATACGGCATAAAAGTCTATTACCTGGCAGTTGACTTCAAACTACCATGACCCCACTGTATGTCATATTCGACTACTTTCACAGTACTCATCCCACCTTTTTTCCACCTTATCTACCTTCGTCTTTGATATACTCTTCTGTCCCCCCCCCCCTCTTAAATTTTTTTCACTTTGATGTTCCTTCCCCTCTGTGGAGACTGAAGTTGACTAAAGGGCCAATGATGACAATCGAAACGCCTGCCATTTGATATAATAATAATTCTTTGGTATCTTATGAGAATGCAACATAATCAAAACTTTGAAATATTTCGTCTCCTGGGGATGAGTGCTTCTCGTTTACCCCACTTCTAAGCGTACACCTAAAGTTGAAATTATTTTTACAACAATATTAGAAAATAATTTTAGAAGGCAAACGGCTATTCTGGTTAGAAATTGGCTCATTCTTCTTAGTTCACAGAAGAAACCGGCGAAAATGAGGCAGGAATCATTTGAATTAAATATTGCTTTCATTTAATTACCTTGGGCTTATAAAGTGGTCCCTCTCTACTTCGCATCACAAAGACAATTTGAACATAACAATGCAGCTAATCAAATTGGAAGGAAGGTTGAATGTGGTGGTGGTGGTGGTGGTGGTGGTGGTGGTGGGGGGGAATGATAAATGTGGATATTATCAACGAAATGACCAAGTTTATTTGAAATAACCAACTATCTTAATTTATGTTTTAGTGTGCATTTGTGCTTGTAAACTTCATCCACATTCTGACAACTGAATTCCCCGAAGTTATCTAAGACCTCTCGAGACTTGAGTCATTCATATTTTACGTAATTAAATTGGTTTTGTTGAATATAAAGGACTCTTGAAGAAATTATTTATTTATAGCAAATTTCAGGCGTTTTGATGGCTATCATTAGCCCTGGAGCTGACTTCGGTCTTCACAGAGGGGAGGAGCATCAAAGTGAGAAAAATTCGAGTTGGGGGGGGGGACAGAAGAGTGATTCACATATGTAAGAGACAGACACAAAGGCAGAGAAAAGGTAAAGTGAGTACTGTGGAATTGGTCGAATATGACATACAGTGGACGGTGGTAGTTGGAAATGAGAAGTCAACTTCCGGTTAATTGACTTTTTTGCCGTATGAGTATACGTTGCCCAGGGTGCACCACGTGGAGGCAAGTCTATCGCACACGCCTTGAAGAACTTGTTGGAAAATGCTAAGTAATATGCAGTTTAATAAATTTCGACTACCTCCCATTAATCCACATTGAACACTGTTTATGGTTTGTCGTGTTCATAAACCCTTCCAGAATAGAATAGCGCCGCTTTTGTACCTTCCTGACGCTGGAGTGTCAGTGAAAATAAAGGTATGTTGCGTCATCTTGAATCGGCATGTGATCAAATAAGAGGCGTGTGTGTGTGTGTGCGTGTGACTATAACCTCGGCTTTCATAATTCGTCTTGAACCAGTGAAGGAATATCTTCGTCTTTGTGGTTTTGTTTTTGGAGAAGGGTTCAAGTTGTCGAGTTACTGCAAAATCTCGTTCTAGCTGTTAGCAAACTAGCCCGACATGTCAACCTCTGATGGGTCTAGAAAGAAGTTCCTTTCTCCATTTAATTGATTTACGACAGCCAGTTTAAAGTAGGGCAAAGTTTTCTTTTGAGGTGGGGGGGGGGGGGGTTGGGGGCGAGGGGTCATGGGAATTACAGTTCTCCCACCAATGAGCACTCCTTTTTAATGATTGTTTATTTGCTTGTTTTTTCATGCCTTTGCAGCCCGCATGGATTGAAATGGAAATCACGCAGCTAAATTGTGCCAAATACACACCATCTATCAAGTACCCCGATCGGTGAGTCTCACTTCAAATAATAATACACCCCCCCCCCCTCCTCCCTAACACATTTTAATACTTTGCGGCAACGATAACAACGATCCAAAAAAGAAACGCTTGTTAATATTTATTTATTTGATAAGTTAATGTGAAAACTGCCAAGATAGTGTCGATTTGAGGGAACATGTCGCGGTTTTGGGGGTTTTGAAAGGTGCAAGAGTTGCCTAATCTTCACGCTATGCAGACCCATGAGTATTGAGCAATCTTTTGCAATCTTAAATCGGCTTTGAAGTATGCTGATTCCATCTCGTCGTCTATTGCGCAATAACGCATTGTCAAGTGACGTTGAAATGAAATGTGTGTGTGTGTGTGTGTGTGTGTGTGCGTGTGCGTGTGTGTGCTTGCATAGCTTAATCTGGTGCCTGGGGGAGGGGGTGGGTTGGGTTCGTTGTAAAGTAGAACACAGATGTTTGAAGGAATATGACTGCGTTAATGAAATGCTAGAAAATTGCACCACATTCTCCTGGTCGAATCTCACAGAATCGAGCTAAATCGTTTAAGTGTAGCTGTTAGAGCTGTCATATGGGCACTAGGTGGGCCAATATCTGCCAAATCTCTTGGAACTGCGCAATTCGATGCAGTTGTTTAAGATCTATATCTTCCAATTTTATTATTGACGATAAGTGAGATAAGAAAATTTGGAATGTGATGTATCGCATTTGTTTGGAGTAAATATTTATTTTTATCAAATGGCAGGCGTTTTGATGGTTATCGTTAGGCCTTTAGTCGACTTCAGGCTTCACAGAGGGGAAGGGGAACATCAAAGTGAAAAAAAGTCGACAGGGGGGAACAGAGGAGTGTTTGTTAGTACAAGCTAATATATTGGGTTGGCAACTAAGTCGTTGCCGTTTTTGTTGACGGATTCACTCTATACTTTCTTTTGTTTTGTTAACGTGGCCAGAGCATCTAACCTATATTTTTTCTTACTGTATGGGCTTCTAGGTTAATTAGGAAAAAATTTTTTTGTTTAGTTCTTTAGTTTTGCTTTTATCCCAATTTAAAAATGAAAGAACAGGACGTGCACTTCCGACACATTTTATTGTATTACTTCCGAAAAGGCAAGAACGCATCGCAAGCACAAAAGAAGTTATGTGCCGTATATGGAGATGAAGCCGCCTTAAAAGAAAGGCAGTGTCGAAATTGGTTTGAAAGATTTCGTTCCGGTGATTTTTCACTCAAAAATTCACAACGATCTGGCCGCCCAGTCGAAGTGGATGTAACCCATATCAAGGCCATTATCGATTCAAATCGTCACAGCAAAACACGAGATATTGCAGAGAAGCTCAATGTGTCGCATACATGCATTGAAAAAAAATTGACATAACCCTTGGTTATGTGAAGAAACTTGATTTATGGATCCCTCACCAGTTAAAGGAAATTCATTTGACGCAACGGATTAGCATCTGTGATTCGCTACTGAAACGCAATGAGAATGATCCATTTCTGAAGAACCTCGTTACTGGCGACGAAAAGTGGATAGTTTATAACAATGTCGTTACTCGCAAGAGATCATGGGTGAAGCAAGATCAACCAACCCAAACAGTATCAAAAGCAGAGATTCACCAAAAAAAGATTATGCTGTCAGTCTGGTGGGATCACAAAGGAATTATGTATTTTGAACTCATGCCGCAGAACCAAACGATAAATTCAAATGTGTATGTTGAAGAACTCGAAAAACTGAAGGATGCAATTGAAGATAAGCGGGCGGCATTATCAAATCGGCGGAAGGGTGTTGTTTTCCACACATCTTTGATAACGCAAGGCCCCACACATCTTTGGTTACTCGGCAAAAATGATTGGAACTGGGTTGGGATGTTTTGTCACACCCACCATATAGCCCTGACCTTGCGCCTTCGGATTACCATTTGTTTCCTTCCATGCAAAACTCTTTAAATGGTAAAATTTGTAACAACGCGGATGATGTCGGATCACACCTAATTCAGTTTTTTAATAGCAAAGACCAGACATTTTACGAACGGGGAATTTTTACTCTGCCAGAACGATGGAAAAAGGTCATCGACAAGAACGGCCAATATCTAATTGAATAAAGTTATATTTTTAAACAAAAATTCCAAATTTGCCTTCTTATTTGAAATCGGCAATGACTTAGTTGCCAACCAAATATTTATATAAGCTTTTCGAAAGATCGCAATTTGAACCAAGAATCATGAAGGGTATTAAGAGTGCGGTGTAAGGGGTTTGGGAATTTTTTTGCATATTGGCGGGTAATTCCCGGCCCCCACACTATTTCACTAGTGTTCTGCAATGAAGTCATTGTTTGATTTACTATCTACCTCTGACTATAATTTACAATTAAAAGTTATTTCTCTTTTGTGAAAAAGGAATCCGGTTTCTTTAACTTTGTGGTTTCCTCCTCCTACCCCTGAATGGTATTTTATGATCCTACGATGGAATTTATTTGATCACTATTAAACCTATTTCCATGAAACGCGCATTTATTGCAACCGAGTCCACGTTTCCCAAGAGGTCTGGTGATATGTATGTGTGGAATTAGTTTTTTTTAGGCATCAGGTGGAGTTAGTGACGGTTTCATATGTACATGTGTGTGTGTGTATCAATGGAGTTGCGGTAAATTTGTGGGTGTTTCAAACGCGCTCTACTTGAGTAGTGGGGGACTGACTTTCAGAAAGCTTTCCTTTCTGTGCTAGCTTTAGTCTAGATCCATCTAATCTGGCATTGCATTCATATTGATGATTTCAGCGCGCATAAAATTGCTGCGGAGATTCACGTAGGAGGCAGGTGTGTCCACTGCACCATTTGAATAATGAGAGTCGATTTTCGAGGTCTCCCTTTTAGGCGTATTTAGCGCTGCCAACAATATATATATTATTTATTTCAAATGGCAGGCGTTTTGATAGATATCATTAGCCATTTAGCTGACTTCGGGCTTCACAGAGGGAAGGTTCATCAAAGTAGCAGAAAGTCGAGGGGTGGGGAACAGAAGAGCGATTCGCAGATGCAAAAGAGACATACAGACTCAAAGGTAGAGGAAAAGGTAAGGTGAGTACTGTGGAAGGGGTCGAATATGACAACCAGGGGGTCGTGGTAGTTTGAAGTCAGAAGTCAAATGCCGGTATATAGACTTTTTTGCCCTATGAGTATACGTTGCCTAGGGTGCACCATGTTGAGTTCAGTCTATCGCACACACCCCACCACCTAAAAATATAACGAGGAATTTGGAGATTCTCATCGTCTGGAGCATTTCTTCGGTTCGATTGTTCGTATGTTCAGACATGGAGAATGTAGACACTTAAATAAGGACCTTCTATGCTGTTGAAAGTTGACAAGAAGATTACCGGGTCATTGACAAAAAGATTGCATCGATCATTAGGAACTAAAGATCCACCGCTGAATACTTGACCATGGCTAAATCTCTCTCTTTTGCTTGAAGGAATGCACTGTTTGCTGTTTGGGCTACTGTGCACCTTAAGCAAGCTCTGGATTGATTAGAACTATTAGTTCCAACTGCCCGTAAAGATGGAAGTATGTGTGGTTGGAAGGGTGAGTGGGTACAAGAGTGAATGCCGTGTTAGTATTCCTGCTTGTTAGATCTTCAGTGGATTGTCAATCGCTGGGTGGAGGATATCTCGGCCCAAATTGAAATTTGAAATTAAAGACAAAAAATGCAAAAAGCCGAATGGAAAAAGGTCTCTCAAAATTATGTAGAATGATAAATCCTGTTCTTCTTGTTGATTTATCGACTTTTTCGCTAGATTTCAACTGGGCCATTTCTCTAATCTTAGATGCGGATGCGGTCGATTCTTGGAGGAACACGACATCGAAGTGATTCAGGAGGTCCAAATGAATTCAACGATTCCACTTGGCCCAGCTGAGCCGGAACGATGGCAAGTGAAGACCCACACTCGGGCAGTACCCACGACGGCTTTCGGAACCGTCGAATTTCAAGGTGGTCCACATCCTACCAAAGCGAGAGTAAGTTCTTCTGTGTCAATTTTTTTCATTCATACATACTTGATCTTCCATTACCACCGAACTTCATATTAGTCGACGAAGTCCATGCAGAGGCATATAGTCGTACATTTGTTTAGAAGGTGGGATTATATCCCCAATCATTATGCTCGATTCACGGTTATGAAGAACTTGGACTCAAAGACTTTGAGCTTCAGATGGTACAATCTCCCAACGTAGAGAAAGGT